GAAAAGGACAGGTGCTGACTCCTGGGGCGCAAGCCCGATACTAGTGCTGTCAGAGGAGACGCTTAGTTAGTGGGTCAAGACAGCACTTCCTTGTGCTAATAGCCTGATGACATGTTATTACTCATGTGTGAGTGTACTTCCCTCCTAGATTGTGTTCCAGGGGTATCAGAAGATATGGGCCATTGAAATTTACTTTTCCTTATTTGTTGCACATACTTCTCAGATAGCTCCATTAATTTCCTCTGCTTTTAATTTGGCAATAATTTCAATTTTTTTTTTAAAGATTGATTATTTATTTATACAAGCACTGGGTACAGTCAGAAGCGCGGGAGGGTGAGAGAATTCACCAGAGCCAGAGCGGGGAGCAGAGCAGGCAGAAGGACTGAAGTACACTGCTGAGGGGAGCAGCGGGCGGCAGGAGAGGTCTGCGCTCCATGTGGGACCCTCACCCAGCTGCTGGGGATCAAACCGGCGCTGCAGAGGCTGCGGGCAGCTTCGCAACCCAGCGCTCAACCACTGCACCACCGGGGAGGCCCCAATAATTTCAAATTTTTTTAAAATGTCGTACAGACATTACCAAGAAGACCCATGTGCTCTTCAGCCAGATTCATCTGTCCCCATCTCCCCACACTCGCTTCCTGCTTGCTGTTCACATGTACCTTCTCCCTCCTTCCCTCTTCCTCTCCGTACACTTTTATTTTTTTCTGAACCTTTTCAGAGCAAGTTATATGCATTATGGTCCTTTATCCCTAAATACTAGAAATAAGGATATTCTTATACATAACTGAGTAGTTACCAACCTTGGTAAATGTGACATTGACATAATACTTTAATCTGCTGTTCATGTCCCAGTTTTATTATTTGATCCAATGTGATCTTTACAGCTTTTCCCCCTCCAGTGTCAGATCCAATCTGTGATAATGCATTGCATCTAGTTTTCTTGTCTCCAGTCTCTTTTTTTTCTTTTAATGACAATGACATTTTTGAAGATCACCAGCCTTCCCCTTCTTTTTTTTCAATAAAATGTCTTTCATTTTGGTTTGTTGATGTTTCTTTGTGACGAGGTTCAGGCTATAGAATCCTGACCAGAATATTCTTTTTTATTTATTTTTTTAAAGATTTATTTATGCAAGCACTGGGGTACAGGCCAGAGGCGCCGGAGGGTGAGAGAATTCACCAGAGACAGAGCAGGGAGCAGAACAGGCGGAAGGACTGAAATACACTGTGAGGGGAATAGCGGGTGAGGCAGGACAGGTCTGCTGTGCTAAGTGGGAATCTCCTTGGCCGGCCGGGAATCGAACCACTGCTGCAGAGGCTGCGGACAGCTTCACAGCGCTGCGCTCAACCCGCTGCACCACAGGGGAGGCCCCACTGGAATATTCTGTGTAAATATTCTGTGTCCTTCTCGGGGTATCAGTCTGTGAAGACGCACTCTAAGACCACACACAGATCCTGCCTGTCATCAGAATATCTCCCCACATTTAGCATCTTTTGCATTCTTTATGTGATGGTTGCAAAAGGGCAACTCACCAACTCCAGCTCTTGTCCTCATTTACCCTTTTATCTTCCGCTGTTGGCTTAAGGGCTCTCCTTCCCACCCTCTCGTCTCCTCCTCTCCCCGCCTTTTGTATCCATATTGCCCTTTGATTCCATTTTTTCCAAATATCTAGACTTTATTTTTGCCCACAGAAGTTCTGGTGCTCCAGGTGTCCCAGATCTGACCAGTGGGAGCTCTTTCAAAGCGGATCCTCTGTCTTGTGAGGTCTCATCATTTCTGGGCCGTTTCTTACTCTCTGGGGCTACAAGATGTTGCAGCCTCCTCTGTTATCCACCATGGCATCGGCCACTTCCTGGAGGAGCCCTGATTTTTTTTAGTGGAGTCTGGTATTCGAAACTAAGGTCTGGACACGAGGTGGGCTCATTGCTTCTGGGGTTTGTTTGCTCCTAGGCGCTTTCAGTGGACAAGCTGGGAGGTGTGTGAGGGTGTGTACACACACACACACACACACACACACACATGCACACTCCACATGTATATGTGCACACACAAGCCTACAAAAGAAGTTTGTGTTTGTTTGAGAATACCTCACCCCACTCAAGATTGAGAATACCAGGCTCATAAACAGCACTTTTGCTCTTTGTATTGTTCATCTTTTTCACTGGAAATCATTCTGTATCAATTCTCTGAGATTTTCATTCTTTCTCGAAACTGCTGGTGCTTTGTGGATTGCTTGTGCTATAACTTATTCAACCAGTTTCCTATATTTGGGCACTTAGACTCTTGGTAACATTTTTGCAATTACACATAAAGTTGCAGTGAATAACCTTGTGCTTATATATCTTGGCATTGCTGGAAATGTTTCCTCTGAATTCTGCAAAGTGGGATCATTGGCTCAGATAGCAAATAGATATGCAGTGTTAGCTATTGCAACTATCCTATCCCTAAGAGTGAGTTGTGCCACGGTGCATTCTCACCAACTAAGTATGAGTGCCGGTTTCCCCAGTGTCACCAGCAGAATATTATATCAAGCTTTGGAATATTTTTGCCAACCAAGTGGGTAAGAAACGATATTTCAGTTTTTTGCATTATGAGCAGAGTTGAGCATCTTTTGGTGGCTTGCCCATTTTTCTGTATTTTTGTTCTTTTTTTTACTCTAATTTTGAGAGTTAGATATATGTAAAGGACTTGAGCCCTTTATTTATGACATATCTTATGAATATTTTCTTTGTTTTTTTTCTTCTTTTTTATTTATTTTTTTTCTTATAAATATTTTCTACTGGCTTGTCGTTTGTCTTTTGTCTTTCCTCATGTCTTCTAATTTTTTATGGTAAAGGATTTTTATTTTTGTGAGGTCAAATTTATAACTCTTGGGCATCTGGGCTGTGAGTGTTAGTAAGAAGGCCTTTCTCACCCAAGTTTTGGAAGAATTCACCCATGGTTTCGTCAGTAGTGTAGTGTCATGTCTTACATTTAGATATTTAGTCATTTGGTACATGTGAGGGGTGAGTCTCATCCTTTTCCACTTGACTTTTTTAAAAGTCCATCTTTGCCCTGGTCATTTGAGATACCACCTTTATCATACCCTGGCTTTTGGACTTTGTATTTCTTGAAGTATTTTTAATGCCAACGCTTCCAGCCGAGTTTTCATTAAATGTTTACATCCCACAGGCTACCAGGCTCCAGTATTTACTGGAATCCAGAGGAATTTTTAGGACTCTTGCCCTTTTGTAGTATTGATAGAGGAGTGTGGGCCCTCAATATTTTCTTATTTTTTCCCTCAAGTTTCCAAATTTTATCAAAATGGGAATTTTTTTAATCCTTTTTGAAGATATTTTCAGTTTTTAACTAAAACTTCAGCATGGATTTTTAACATCACCCCTCCCCCCCATTTTTCCATTGGTATGTTGACTTTTCTCCTCCATAGAAGAGAGGTTTCAGAAAGCTTGCATGTGATGGATGTGCAAGGAAGAAAAAGGGAAGGCCAGTGGCCTTGAGGCCTTGTGGTCCAGGCCTTGTTCACTTCCCTGTGTGTTTTTTTTTTTTTTTTAAGATTTATTTATTTATTTATACAAGCACTGGGTACAGTCGAAGCGTGGGAGGGTGAGAGGATTCACCAGAGCCAGAGCTGGGAACAGAAAAGGCAGACTGACGAAATACACTGCTGAGGGGAGCAGTGGGTGGCAGGAGAGGTCTGTGGCACCATGTGGGACACTCGCCATTGGCTGGGGATGGAACCAGCGCTGCAGAGGCTGCGGGCAGCTTCTCAGTCCAGCGCTCAACCGCTGCGCCACCAGGGGAGGCCCTTCCCCGTGGTTTTTAAGAGCTGCCAGGTAGGCTGTTTATTGTCCATCTTCGTGTGTGCAAGTGTACAGGTGTAAAGTATAGAGAAGACGAGCCTAAGGTAGGAGCTGGAGACACATGAATAATAGGATAGCCCGTTTTTAATGGGTTGCATTTTTAAGTGCCCACTTCCTAGGGAAGGCTTAATGGGGAGTCTGCTCTCTCGCCTTCCTCCCCCTATTCCTGTAAGTGGAATAACTTGATTTATTTTAATGCTTTTTATAACTTGGGGGCTATAAGGAAAAAAATCTATTTATAAGCTCCATTTAGAGGAGACAGGACTCACGCTGGCCATGTGGTCTCTGTTTTTACCAAGTTATATTTCAGGAAACATATTTTCTTAGGGAAAAATCAGGACATGTAATCCAATTTAATTTAACATGTCAAATCCTATAAAGCTTTAAAAACGAAGCCAGGTTTAATTATAAATTTAACAAGTCACCTTTTTGAAATAGAAAAGAATTTCTATGAATTTCGTTTTGTGGAATACGCCCTGAAAGTGCATTCAGTCAGATGTGTGAGCAGTGTGAGAGCTGACAAACTCTAGAACCTTTCTAGAATACCTACCTGGCAGGGGTGATACCATGATCACGAAGGTGGTTTTCCCAGGGCGAGGCTTATCCATTGCACTCCGGATGTGCTGATCCCTGCGATTTCCCCAAATGTGGGAAACTCGACTGCCTAATTTGTGGCAGTGGGGGACTGCATTTGCGCTAAAAAAAAAAAAAAAAAAAAAAAACAAAACCCTTTCTAGAACCTCTCACAGCGTGCACTGTGTATCTGTGAGACAGTCACGAAGGCAACACGGCTGTCTTAGGACTCGGTGCAGTTGAGACTCTTTTGCTGTGGTGGTTCAGCTCTTCTGTTCTTCTGTTAGAATAGTGTCACCAAAATGGAGACTGGGAACTTTCCTTAAAATTTCTGTTTTCTTAAGTACCTGTATCCACAAGCATAGCTTAGAGCTTTCTTCTGAGTAAGCCTGTCACGGGCAGACTCAGACTTCATTTCATAATAAGGCCTTTAATGTGTGGGTGGCAGCTGCCCTGCTGTTGATTGCTAGTTAAGTGTTAATAGAATTAAGAGCATTAAAATATTTTTACAGGCTAGTCTTCCCGCCACTCTTAACACCTTTCATGCAGTTCCACTGTTTGCATTTCAGTCTCACAGCTACCAGCACAGGAGGGAAGAGAAACCTGAGTCTCAGTGAAGCAGAAGCTGGCTTGGAGGCCATGGTGTCGGGGGATATTTCTGACACTGAGCTTGAGCAGACAGATTCCTGTGCAGAGCCCCTCTCAGAGGGAAGGAAGAAGGCCAAGAAGTTAAAAAGAATGAAGAAGGACCTTTCCCCAGCAGGTTTGTATCGGCTCTTACTAAGGACAGGAATTGTGTTTTCTTCAATGCCCTAGGAACTTATGTTTGGGGGAGAAGTTACAGAGGCCTCAGTGGGTGGTAGAGTCCACAGGCAGGTGTCTCTAGGATCAACTTAATTTAATGGGAGGAATCCCCCAAAAGTTCCTAGCTTTTAGCGGGGGTCTCCTTCTTAGAGATGTTGGTGATCTCTCCTCCGTGGTTTAGAGGTTTTGCTGATATGTTCAAAGTAGCCTCAGTATCTTACATATGCATTTAAATTTGCACAGAGACCTACTCCTACACATGTTATTTTCAGTAGCAGTTTTCACTGTTCGCAGCAAAACCCCAGACAGCCCGGGTTTCTCTCTTAAGCAGAATTATATAAGGAGCAGAGAAAACCGGAAATGAGCACATGTGGAGAGAGCCTACTGTGTGCTAGACACTGCTGCAGGGCCTTTTCTCTCCTCATGTCATTTGATTTTCACAGCAACTGTGAGAGAGGGAATTATCATCCCTGTTTTAGTGATGTGTATGTTTGGGCTCAGAGAGGTTAAATTTTGGCGGGTCGATGGAGCTAGTAAAAAGCAGAACCAGAAGGTGAGCCCTGGCCTCACTGAGGCCAAATCCCCTATCCTCTTTGTCACCCAGACGTGCTGTGCAAGGTTGGTGACCGTTCTCCGCCCTCCATACCCAGACCCCATGCGGTGGCGAGTGCCAGGTGAGGAAGGGGCTGGCTTGTCAGTCTCTCCAGACATGGCCTGATCAGGCAGCAGTTGCGGTGTCAATCATTATAGCTGTGCTGAGGGCCCAGGACTGCACTTCCTGCCTGACAAAAATTCCCTTAAACTTCAGGTAGTCACCAGGGTCCCCTTGACAATTAAGAAAAAAAGGCCCAAAGGGTTACGTGACTGGCCAAGGTCACAGAGCCCTTAAGTCTGTCCTGCAAAAGAGATCATGCTTTTAAGTCACCTCTTGGGATGACCTGCCTCTCTTCCAGACAGTTGCCTTGGTCAGCAGAAGCAACCATCAAATCAAAAGGTGGTAAAGCAATGGAAATGCATTCAGACCCAAGCTAAGATTTGCTGTTTGATTAATTCCTCTTTTTGCATGTGCCCCAATCTGATTATAGAGCGTCTTCTGAATCTCATTGCTATTAATGAAATCAAAGAAGCAACAAAAGTGTTGCATATGCTTTTAGACATCAAGCCTGACTGTCACCGGGAACATCCTCGTGGCTGGGCCAGGATTGTGTAGTTTTAGTTGCCTCCTGGAATCTGGTATCTGCCTCCATTTGCCTCCTTCCTCTCCGTAAATGAAGTGGTGGAGAAATTTTTAATCTGTGTCAGCCTTGGTACCTTGTTACCACCACCACATTGCACCTGCTCAACAAATGTTACATATAAATGTTAGCCTGACTTTTAAAGATCACACCAGGCATGATGGGGAATTTGATTCTCTTCTGAATTTTTGTGCTTATCTGTTACTTCTTAGGGACAAGATTTTAGGTTTTTTTCCTTCAATCTCAGCATAACCTTAAAGATATTAGGATACCTAATAATAGACTGCATTAGCAGACAAGCTCCTTTTATAACTTTCATCATTTTAAGTGAAAAATTTCTATGAGTTATTTGGGGTTTTGAATTTATAATATCTTCATTAAAATAGTTCCCCCCCCTCCCATTGACAGTAAAACTGTCACTGCCATAAGATTTAAGCTAAAAAAAAAATTATAGATTTTGTGCTTCTTTGTCAGTCCTGCTAAAAAAGAAAGAGAAAGAAACACCTTGACAACTTTGAACTGAATCAGGCCACTCAGGATCGCTGAGCTTGCTCCAGGAGCACCCCCCTGGGGAAGCCTCTCTGCCACCGAAGGCTGGAGCTTAATGAGTCCTTGTGAGCAGCTCCAGTCAGTGTGTAGTCCTGATGGTCTCGGCATGATGTAGGAAAGAAATGGGCTGATCCTGCTGAATCGGCCAACTTTGGTTGCTCAATTACTTTAATCGGGTCCTAGAATGAAAGAGAGTACACAGTTCAGCCCGTGAGAGGGTTTGTGTTAAACTCTCGAAGGTCCAGGATGTCCCTCGAGCAGGCAGGGCTGGTTTGGGCATGGGCAGGAGCCATATTAGACGACCAAGTGCTACCTGGGGCAGCCTATCCCGCAGGGACAGGCTCTAAGCGTGGAGTATGAGCCCTTCCCCTTGGGTGACTGGGCTGGGCACCCAGCACTGCAGCACACAGGGCAGAGAAGGTGGTGCTCCCCCTGCAGAGAGTTCTGCTTTCAGGGAGACAGTCATAAAAAGTAGAACTAGGTAATATCAAGCACTATCATAATAATCCCGAGACAATTGATCCGCAATAAATCCCAGACAAACAGTATCATCTTTCTTAGTTACACGTCTTACTATCCAAGGTACACAAAGAATCTTAAGTACTGGATCTCTTCCCAGATAGCACAGTGACCCAAATTACCATTCACTGAGTTTATGTTATATACCTGACATCCTTTTTTTTTTTAATATTTTATTTACTTATACAAAACCGGGGTACAGGCCAGATGTGCAGGAGGGTGAGAGGATTCACCAGAGACAGAGCGGGGAACAGAACAGGCAGACTGACAAAATACACTGCTGAGGGGAGCAGCGGGCGAGACAGGAGAGGTCTGCCACTCTATGTGGGATTCTCACTGGCTGGCCAGGATATAACCCGCGCTGCAGAGGCTGCAGACAGCTTCACAGTGCGGCACTCAACCGCCTGCACAACCAGGGAGCACCCCCCCCCCTTTTTCAACCTCGTGTAGTCCTTATCAAAACCCAGTAAAGCATAGACATTATTTCCATTTTGTAGAGGAAACCGAGACCCAGAGTTCCAAACTTGGGAAGTCTTATAAAGGGCGGGGATGTAGGCTGTCTGACCCAGCACACCCTATGCTGATCTGCAGTTTGTAAAATGTGCCCGAACTTCAGAGGAAGCAAAGGCTTCTTTGCAAAGGAGAGTATTTCTGGAAGCTGTTCTAGATCAGAAACAGTGACAGCCTGGAGTTTGAAATGATGACGTCATGTGATAAAAATCCAAGCTGCCACTCCCTTGCGGTGTCTATGTTATATGCGTATTATATACCTGGTAGAGATATTTCTCTTAGTATTTTCTTCTATATGTTGTTTCTCTCCTGTTTTCAAAAAACAAATGTATAATGTAAGCCTTCTTTTCTATTATGATTCATGTAAGTTGATAGCCCTATCTGCTCATGCGCTGTGGAATTTAAGGTACATTCTCGGCTAGTAGGTAAAAAAAAGCAGTTCTGCATGCTGTTTCTTCTGGAATACACTATCTCTAGGAAACGTTCCCCAGACAACATTTAATGGATGGTTTCCATAGCACACTTGTTCTTGCTGAGTAAGTGAATAATGCTCTGGGTCCTGGGGAAACCCCAGCCTGGCCTCACCCCCTCACTTCTCCAGGAAATGGCAGGGCCGACAGGGAGTAGCCTGATACTGGCCAGACTTGTATTGTCCAAATACTGTCAGGCAGCCCACAGGCTGGAGGGTCCTTAGCACTATGCGCGAAGGTGCCAGTGCTAAGTCAGCACGTCAACTTGTGCTGACTTCTTGCAAGGAGATAGACCTTTAAAGCCATGTTAGACCTTTAAATGTTTGCCAAGAATATGAGTTTGACTGGAGTCTTGCCTCATCTGCCAGACTCTTCAAGCTTCCGCCCTTGGGTCACAGGATAAAAACTTAGGACCTTCTCAGAGCAGCAGGCGCTTCAGCTCACAGGTCTCCTGAAAGTCAGAGGCAGGTTCGAGGCTGCCTTGGCCCTTTAATTGCTCCATTAAAATGTGACTTTTCTGCCCCTGGAGGCAGCGGAGGCTTCACCCTGGGAGCCCATCTGTGCCTCCCTTCCTGCTGGAACCTCTGGATCCCCAGTAGCACCCAGGGGAACTCCCCTTCATGGTCTGGGAAACCACCCCAGAACCAGCCCTCTGGGGCACTTCCTAGTGTAAAACTTCGGTCTGGCACCCAAAGGACCCTCTACATACTGAATTCCTCTCTGCAGAGGTAATTCATGACAGATTTCCAGGCTGAGGCTTTGCTTTGGAGTCCCCTGAGGGCAGAGGTATCTTGCTTCCCAGAGGGCCGCCCTCCGGCTAGAGGTGGGTGAAAGGGAGAACCAGCAGAAACATTCGCTTGTGTGGTCACTGCTTCTTCATTTCTTTTGTTAATGAAAAAAAAAGGGGGGACTCACTGTGAAAATGTGTACAGTGAAGAATAACAGAAGAAAGTTCACCCCACGGTGCTAACACTTGAAATCCTGGCAGTGAGTGTTCTCACTCTGCCTCTCATTTTTTTCTATCTAGTTGGCGTCACACTTTGTATACAATTTAGTATCCTGTTTTTTCCCCATTTAAGAAACTCTTGGTTGAATAATTTAAATTCTCTCAGCAATACACTTTATATTTAAATTTGGCTGGATTTTTAAAAAACAATCATAATATCTTTTGCAGAATCAGCTTAATTAAGATTTCATGTACATGCAATAAATTTCATCACTTTGAAGTGAACAGTGTGGTGAGTATTGACACACAATCAGAACCATCACTGTGGTCAAGATACATAGCAACTCTCCTTCTAGATGGTTCCTCATGTCCCTTGTAGTTAGTCCTTCCTTCCCTACCCCTACACCCTGGCAACCACTAATCTGCTTTCTGTTACTGTGATTTTGCCTTTCCAGGATGCCAAGAAATGGAATTATAGAGGAGGGAGGTAGTCTCTTGGGTCTTTCATTTAGCATAATGCACCTAAGATCCATCCTTGTTGTGGTGGGTATCACAACTTCCTTCTTATTGCCGAATTTATGGCCATATCAATGTTCGTTTACCCATTTGCCGGCAGAAGGACTTTTAGGTTGTTACCAGTTTTTAGCAACGAAGAGTCAAGCTGCTATCAACATTTGTGTCCTGCATTTTGTAGGAACTAAGTTTTCCTTTGGGGTGAACGCCTCAGAGTGGAATTACTGGGTCGTTTGAGAAGTACATGTTTAACTTGATAAGAAACAGCACACATTTTCCAAAGTGGCCACGCCATTTTGCATTCCCAGCCACAGGACAGAAGGTTCCAAGGGCCCTGCCCTTTGCCAGAACCTGGAAGTGTCCAGCTTGGTTGTTCCCAGCTGCGCTGATGACTGGTTTCATGTGAGCAATGGTACCTCTTTGTGACTTCGACTTAATTTTTCTAATGACGAATGATGCTTCATGTGATTATTTGCCATCCCAGTTTCTTTGTGGCGTATCTTATCAAATCTGCCCCTTTTTCCCAATGGGTTGTTTGTTTTCTTATTGAGTTTTGAGAGTTCTTTCTGTATTCTGGACACAAGTCCTTTTGTGTGTTCTGCAAATATGTTCTTCAAGACTGCATTCTCTTAACAGTATCATTCAAAGAGCAGATGTTTTAAATTTTAATGAAATCCACTCTATCTTTTTTTTTTTTCCCTTGGATTATGCCTTTGGTGTGTCATACCTAAGAAGACTTGGCCTGACTCAAAATTGCAATGATTTTCTCCAGTGTTTCTTCCTACAAGTTTTATAGTTTAAGGTTTTATGTTTAAGTCTACAATCATCTTGCATTAACCTTTGCACATGACAGAGCTGCGAGTTGAGCTCCATTATTGCAGGAGGCAGACAGCCTTAAGATTCTGCTTAAAAAGTTGTCCCTGAATTACTCTTTGCCTTCCAGTAAAACTGGGCTGTGAAAATGAGCTCCCTGGAAAACAGACCACAACTCCTTATCCAGTAGCTTTGAGACTGATCCCTCACCATCTACGGTCTTCCTGTCTGGAATGTGCTGTAAAGAGCAGTGCCAGTGGCCTCCAGTCCCTCCCTCTGGGTCTCCTTAGGTGGCTCCTGAAGTTCTGGGTCCTAAGCACACATCATTCTCACTCAGCAGCTGCAGCTTTTAGGCGTGAAAACTAGCGTCTCTGCTGCAGGCTGCCGCTCTCTGCACAGAGAAGAACCGTGTCCGTATCTGGCTACCTCCTGGATGCTGAGAAGCTGCTCTGCACCAGGAGCCTGCTGAGTCACAGGTGCTCCGTGGCGATGTAGAGGCTTTTTCAGGCCACTTTTACAACAGATGAGTCCTGAGAGTCATTCCAGGTCAGGGCTGGTGAGAGGGTCAAGCAGATGAGCCCATGCCAGTGCCTGTTCTTTCTCCCGCTGTTCCCCGCCACTCTCCAGGGTCCCTCCTGCGGGTGAGGTAGCCAGTGCTGGTGCCAAGGGCAGTTACAGGTGTGACTGTGCAGCTGCTCTTGGCCGCTTCTCTTTTCCTTGCTTCTCAGCCAGTCTTGGTCTCCTTCAGCTCCACGTACATGGCTGCCTTTAGAGCGGCTAGTTGGCTGCTGGAGTATTTCTTTGGTCTATGAATTGTCCAAATGCTGTGGTCAGTGTTTATTTTCCTCCCTACAATTAGGCTCGCAGGGCTGGTCACGGCGTGGCTGGGCTGCCGGCAGCCTCAGTGTGTGCTCGCCATATTCATCCTCTGTAGTCCTGACCAGGCCGCCCCTGCCCAGTGCCACCTCTCGGGAGCGTGCTCAGGGAGGCCAGAGGACCCAGGGCAGCAAGCCCCAAGCCCCCTTCTCCTGTCTCTGGATCCCATCTCAGCCAGTGGTCAGCAGTGGGAATTCCAGTCTTCACTGCACTCCTCCTGCTGTGGCATGCGCTAGCCCACTCCTCATTAGGAGGCTTCTCTCCACTGCGTGCTTTCCTTGTTGGGGTCTGTCCATTTTAGGCACCATCAAAGATTTCTTGCCCCTTTTAAGCCCTTGGTGAGTTTGTAGCTGAGGTGGGCTTGCCTGCCAGCCCCACTTTATGACATCCAAAAGGCCTACCCCAGCCTGGTGTTTCTCCTGTTGTGAACATACTCCTGACTGACTCACCTCCCTCCCTCCAGACAACGGTGGCCCAGGCCTGGTGCCTCCTGTGCTGCTGTGGAAAGTAGCACGAGTGGAGAAGGCCTTCCCAGGGGGTCGCGGTGCTTGCAGTGAAGAGTGGGCTCCCATCCAGCTGGGAGACCTTGGTGTGGAGCTGAACTTGGAAAAACCCTTGAGCTTTATTTTGCTCCTGTCAGGGATCTCTGCACCCCCCACCCGTCAGCTTCCCTCCACTGTGAGGCCCAGTCCCGGGAGTCCTCCGGGTGTCTGCTCATCTCCGCACAGGGAGCTGCTCATTGGGGCCTCAGTGCTGCCAGGATCCAGACCGCTCTCCACTCCTTGCTGTAGAGGGCTGGTCAGCTCCCTGCCTCTCTGAGGCGGTTTTGCATTGAGCATAATGCAGAGAAAATGAACCCGTATAGTTCAAATGGGGGTAGCGATACCACGGTGCTGGGCTCTCGCGAACGCAGATGAACTGCAGAGTATGGTGCTCAAGCGTCACATTTTAACTCCTGTAAAGAGATAACCAAGGCAGGGCAGGGGGCACGTGATTAACCTACCCCCACATGTCTGGAGTTTCACCTGTTTTCGGGGCCTGCTCTCCATGGACCAGACCTGCCGTGGGCCCCTCCAGGCCTGACTCTGCTCCTTGCTGGCCCTTCCCTCCCCATCCTGGCCTCCTGATCACCTGGTTCTGTCCTTTCCCCCCAGGAAGCATCTCAGACGGTTCTGCCAACCTCTTTGAAGTTCCCGACACGTGGTAACCGAGGCCCAAGGGAGCCGTCGCTGGCGCTGAGCGGAACCGCGCACACTAGGAAGCCATACCGTATTTCACTGGATAGAATGTGGCCTGGGAGGGGTTTGCAACCATGTCTCCTGGGGGGACAAAACCAGTTTTTATTTTTGTGGCTGCATTTCTTTTTCTCCTTTTTATATCAACTGTCTGCTGCCAGCACGGCTGCAGGCTGTGGTGACCGTGCCCACCATTAGCCAGTCCATTGTCTGTTGCTCATCTGACACTTTTGTCATAAACTGTTGTCTTCAAGAGTCCACCCGGGGGAAGGTCAGCTGCGAGCTGGGCAGAGAGAGGCAGTGCTGTGGGTGCTGTGACCACAGGTTTCGGGGGACTGTGCTGCCTCCCTCGGGGGCCCTCATTCTACTCCTGCTGACTTGAGGGCCGTCTTGGGCGGTGGCCATAGCCTCCTGCCTCCCCTCAGAGCTGCCTGAAAACATTAAGTTCTCCAGCTTGTTTTACCAGCAGGAACGTGTCTACTTGTCCACCCCGAAGGAACCGAACGCTGCCTGCCTTTGGGACTCGCTTACTCCCCCATCTTGTTTCCTGCCATGAGCTGCTCATGGGGGATTGTCCGTGCAAAGCCCGACTATTTCCACGCGCTGCGCTCGCGCTCCACGCCGGCCTGGCCGCCTCTGCATCTGGGGCAGTGAGGTCCGACAGCCCCACATGGGCGGCCTCCTCTGTGAGGCCATCGCAGCAGCGGTGGGACCTGTGGATCCACTCACTAGATCCGCTTCATAGAGATCATTGTTAGATATTTAACGTTTTTGTATCATGGAACTAAAAAAAAAAACTGTATTTCCAAAAGATGAAAATTAAAGAAATTTTCATAGGATTTTGGTTTTCTCTTTTAAATAAGTGAGTGAGGCTTGAAATACTACATGATGGATTTCTCTCGAAGCTCACCTGTAAAAAGCTCTGGTAAGGCCACTAAGCCTGGTGTTTATCGGTTTATTTTAATTGTTTACCTCTGAGCCCGCTGTACCTACCTTAATGAGTCAGGAGTAGAGCCCCCTGGGAGTGACCATATGGGGGGCTTCATCCTTTCCACAGTGGGAGGGATCTCTCTGGGCTTGCAGATCTGGGGTCAGAATTCCCCGTTGTCACAGAAGTCAGATTTGTAAGACCTTTCCCCCATGGCCTCTTAACACACCCCCATCCTGGTCCTCTCCTCCCTAGCCTCCTACTTTGATAGCCACAAAGTTGCAGACCCAAACTCAGCAGGAGGCGCGCCCACCTTCTTCAAAGCTATGGTTGCTGAGCCGGGAAGTGTGATGGGGACTGAAGACAAACAGTAGTGGGAAGGGGTGGAGAGACCCTTGTCAAGGTCACCCAGCTTCAAGGACGGCTGGGACTGGATCCTGTAGAGACACATCCTGGATTCTTCATGGTCTGGGAAGAAGGGGGAGCAGAGAGCCAGGCTGTCCCTCCATAGGAGGGTCCAGGTCCCCTCCCTCCTTGAGGCTGGGTGACCTTGCACAAGGGCCTGGGATCACATTGTAAATGGGGGTGGAGGGTTGGATTAGAGGGGATCTAATCATCCCTTCCCCTCAAATCATACCATTCAGTGACTCCACCAGCTAATTTGGTGATCTGCCTTATAGGAATAGTCATTCTGCTGGTAGAATTTGAGGGTGTGGGTTTGAACTGCCAGCGGAAAGGGAGCTGGAGAAAGCTCAGTGTGTCTCCCCGAGGAGCCTGGTCAGCCCCTAATCTGGAAGAAGCTGATTGACTCTCACGTCTCCCCCACCTCTCCTTAGAAGCTTCCTGGCAGAGTATGTGGGGGCACCTGATAGACTGACCTCACTTCCTCCTATCTCCATCCTCCCTTCCTCGCTAACAGAACCCTGGGAAAGTGTCTGCCTGGAAAACTGTATTCCTGGCTGTGTCACGAGTGAACCCAGAACTTGGCAGCTGAAAACAAAAATGCTTATTAGCTCAGTTTCTGTAGGTCAGTCCAGTGGGTCTTTTGGATCAGGTCTCTCGGGAGGTTGCAATCAAGGTGTCCACTGGGCTGTAGTCATCTGAAGGCACAACTTGGGGAAGACATTCTTCCAATTTCAGTCATGAGGCTGTTGGATGGAGGCACTCAGGCCTTTACCAGCTGTTGTTAGAGACATCAGTTCCTTGACAAGCACGCCTCTCCACAGGGCGAGTCACAACATGGCAGCTGGTTTTCTTCAGAGCAGGAGAGGGCAGCCTAGAGGGTTTTCCTCAAGTAGGAGAGGGCAGCTACCGTTTCTTTGTAAATCTAATCCCAAAAGTAACCTCTCTTCCATCTCTTGCCATATATTGTTGGTTAGAAAAAAGTTATAGGTCCAGCCCACCCTCAAGGAGAGGGAATTATACAAGGGAGTAAGTACTAAAAGAGGATTTGAAAATACCTACCACAACTACCCTTCACAGACTCTCTTGCAGATGGACACCGCCACGTGACTACATTCTCTCCAATAAGATACAAGCAGAAGTTTTGTGGTGGAGTTCTGGGAAAGCTACTAGAAAGGTGAGTCAGAAGTTACTTCCTTTTTCTTGTGGTCTGAAACATAAGGGCTGGAGCTCTGGCAGCCATCTTGGGGCATGAGGAAGCCAGCAATGATTTCACAGACTATTCTTCCAGCCTTGACTGGCTGCTGGGGGAGTCTAAGTGTTTTTAAACCACTGTATTCAGAACTCTGTCATGCATAACTGAACCAGTCTTAAACATTATAGTGTTACCATCTCAGAGAACAAAACTGAGGTTCATTAGTACATAGAACATATCCAAGATCAAAAGCAACTAATTGGGCAAGCCTCAGCCAAACTTCCAGTTTGTTCATTACAAAACAAATCTTCCTTCCAGTGCTGAGAGAGATCTGTTTGGAGGAAGGGGGACAATCCTCTGGAGTTCTTCCTCTGTCTTCTAGGTAATGTTCACCATGTGTAGTGAAATGGGAGACAAAGTGCAATGTGATAGCAGCCTGGCAAAACAACCCTCTTACTAGGGCAGGGAGCAGAGATTACTGGTTTTATTCGTGTTCCTGGTCCCCCCTGTGGCGACACTCAGCAAGGAAAACTGTGGCCTGGGCAATTGGGAAACGTTCCTAACTTCAGAATAAGTGATAGGGAAGGCTGGACTGACAAGCAAAAAGCCCAAAGAACGGATGGCTGAGTTCGAAGGCGTTTCAGTCCTGCCCTCTCAGAGCAGGCACAAGCAGACTAACATGCTGCTAGGCACAAGGCCACCACCTTCTGGAGAAGATTCTAGCTCATCCACCAGAGTAGGCTGCAAGGATTGGGTGCAGAGGGGTCAGCCCCTTACCTGGGAACTGCCTTTCCAGCCCCAGGATGGGCCCAGCAACAGTGAAATGGCGCTTGCAACTCAGCATTGGAGCACAGGCCCCCCCTGGCAGGCTCTCACGGCGGCACCCCCAGCCCAGACATGAATCCCATTAATCAACCTGCTGGCTGGGTGGAGAAGCTCTGTTACCAGCCCACCCACTAGGCAGGTCAAGGTATGCTTCTAAGGGTCTGAAAAGATGACCACCACAGATCAAGCTAAACACTTGTGCTTTACTCTCCGCACTAACCTGCAGGGACTGCATCCCAGCAGGTCCTTCGCAGACCGCAGGGCTCCTCATGTCCAGCTACTCCCTGTGATAGGGCTTTGATGGGGGCAAGTGACAGAAATGCGAGTTAACATAAGGCAAGGAGGGAGGTGGGCCCATCCTGGTCATTATCGGGGTCCACATTTTCCGTCCAGCCACATTCCCACCTGGGCTCATTGTCCCGTTTTCTGAGCCCCATCTGGAGGCATAGGAAAGAAGGACATAGTGAAGGGGACAGTCCTGGTGGCACTGGATTGGGCTGGATCCAGCCTTGGGCTCTAGCACTTTCAGGGCCCTAATGCTGCATCCACACTCCGCCAGGCTAAATCCCCATCTCTTCTTCAGGGGAGTTCTCAGAGTGCTGGAAATTGTTGCCAGCACCCCCAGATCCTGTTCTCCCAGCACAGTGGACTGAACAGGCCAGAGATGCCTCCCTGCGACTCTGTCTGCCCAGGAAGTGATTGACACCCCCCCTCCACCCTCCCACCCCCCACCCCCCAGGCTGGGGCAGTCATTAGCTGGGCCTGGGGCACATGCCCACCTGTTGTGAATTCACCAGAATTTGTGATTGGAGACATTCAGTGCAAAGAAATGGGGGGCTCAGAGAAAAGCAACCAGCTTCCACTTCAGTCTAGCTGCATTAAGTGGATGAAGGTTTTTTTGCCGCGTGTTTGCAAACCAGGTGTGTCTCAGGGAACCCAGGCTGCAGTGGGGGGGGGGATGGGCATGGGCTGCGCCCCGCTTGCTCTCCCTGCATTTTGCCCATACCTTCCAACCTGCTTTTATTTGCACAGGGCTCTTCACCGGAGGCTACCACGTGCCTGCCATTCTTCTGCAGGCAGCACCTCGCTCAGGGCCTCAGGGTGAGCTCCCCTCCAGGGGAGAAGGAATTCTCCTTTCTCCCTTGCCTAAGCCCTGGACAGCTGCTCCTGCTCCCTCTGCAGACAGGAGCGTTGCTGCTAAACCAGGCTGCTAATTCCAGAGGACTTTTGACCTTTCAACTCCAGCCCTCTGAGTGGCAGCTGAGCGTGAACACAGCTGTGTGTTGGCTGCCAAGAGGGGTGGGAGGTGTGGGTGGATGGAGGGGGTGGCCCCACCCCATTTTCTGTGGGCAGAAGGGGCAAGTGGGTCTGACTTGCTTGGTCCCAGTTCTAGCGGAGGAGACACAGCACAAGCTCCTTTGTGGGGTTCGTCCCCCTAAACTGCTTGGGCCATACGGTAAAATGCCCCTTTCTGGAGCAGAACTCTTTATCGAGACCCTGCACATTCGCATCAGCTCCCAGCAGCCTATACACGGCCAGGAGTCCAGGGCAGGAAAATGGTGGAGTCACTTGAGGACCACCGTGGTGGACTTTCAGGAGTGGATCCACCGGGGTGTGACGAAGCTGAGCCACATCTGTGGGCAGAGGCCCTGTCCTCTCCCTGCTCAGAGGCCAGGGCAGTGCCTGGGAGCCAAGCGAGCCCGGGACACACTGCACGCCGGCCGACTTCCCACCTGGACTGCCAGGGGCCTCCCTTGTCCGGTCACCAGGCCATCGTAAGTGCCACTGATCTGTCAGCCTGACATTTGAAGGAGGAGGGTGCCCAGACAGGAGGGTCCTGGCCTTGGTCAGTATGGGGGTCCACATTTTCTGTCAGGCTGCACTCCCTCCTGTTTCCTGAGCCGCGGCACCCATGTGGAAGCCAAGGAATGAAGGAGCATGGTGAAGGCAGCTGGTCCTGGCAGACGCAGGCATGGACTGCAGGCCTGTTTGGGTTCCAGATGTTTCCACTGGCCCTACTTATGACAGTAAAGGCATGGCTATACCCTAGATTCACTTACAAATGTGTTCAGCTTCTCTCTCTCTCTCTCTCTCTCTCTCTCATGCACTGGGGTCCAGAGGGCCAGACGACAGGGGCAGAACCTTCTAAGCCTCCCTCGGGCTCCTCCTCAGCACAGGGCTATTTGCTTCCAGAATTGAGCTGTTTCTAGACACAAATCAGTCTATTTTTGCCATAGAGCTGGCTACCCCGTGCCAAGGTTCCTTCCCACAAATAGACCTTCGGGAAGGGCCAACTGGTTTCCTCTGGGCTTTCAGACACCTCTTCACATTTCATCTGGCCTCCCGTCCCCAGCCCCAGCAGGGACTATTTGGAGCCTCCTCTGTTTTGCTGTGATTGCAGGCACCTCTGAGGCCCCCGGGCTGCCTTCCGAGCCTGGCTGCGCCTTGATCGCTGGCCCCTGGCACGC